TAGGAAATGGAAAGACTTGGAAAAAAATTATATTAAGTGAAGTAAGCCAGGCCCAAAGAAACATAGGTCCCATGGTTTCCCTTATTTTTAATAACTAGCATATGTCTGGGACAAGTAGAAAAGGTCAATAGCTATGTACATATGACCAGATAAGATGAAGAAAAGGGAAATGAACTCCAAGATAGAGACACAAGTGGTTTTTTTCTTTCTTGCTATTGTTTCTAACATATTTATAAGGCACCATCTGATTTTTTTGTTGTTTTGTATGTTCCTCTCCCATGGTATAACCCCTGTTTTCATTGTATTTGACATCTGTATAATTTGGGGAGGGGAAGGAAAAAAACAAAATGTTTAAATAGGGATACAGGTTGACCCAGTGTAACAATGAGATGTACAAGACACTATGTTGAAAAACGAACTTTACAATTTAGGCCGGGAGTGGAGGTTGGAGGAAGTGTAGTTGTGGAGGTGGGAGGGAAGGGATGGTAGGAGAAAAACAATGGAGGCAACAATGCTTGATAAGAAATGTGTTCATTATTTTGCTCATGTAACTGTAACCCCTCTGTATGGTATTTTCACAAAATACTAAAAACACTAAAAATAAAACTAAAATACTAAATACTAAATAAAACAAAATACTAAAAACACTAAAAATAAAACTTTAAAAAAGTGATGTAAAATAAAGATGTCACATATTTGGTGACATTGAGTGGACATAAAGATGGGAGCTCAGCCCACATTTCACTAAGAGAGCAAGAGATATAGGGACCCAGAAGGATTCCCTGTGCAGAGATTGCAAATCAAATGGGTTTGTTTACCCTGGTCAAGATCTAAGAGTCATTTCTCATGCTCAGTTATGGGTTCATTACAGGAAGGATTCAGGTAGGAGAAACAATAAGGTCAGTGCATGAGCTAGAGGAGCTTTGACTGATTTTCAAATATTATTTAATGGCCCACTGTTTCTGCTCCAAGTTATTAATTTTGTATAAACCTTTTCCACTCATGGACTCTCTAGCTGGCTAAGTTTTTTGTTACATCTTGGATAACAGTCCAATTTCACACTCCCTTCTAGAAAAATGGGATGTCCATGTACTCTTCTCCACATTACACAATCCTCAGAAAATCTGTTCATTTTCTCTTACAGGGTAACTAAGGTAAGTGGAGAAACCACAGTTCTAATTGAACTGTTTGCATTCCTCAGGCCTTACCCCATTATCCATGGAAGTCCATCCAAACCTTTGCCACTCTCTGCCACTTGCCAGACACCTACAAAAGCACTGTTTCCGATGCCTGAATGTCCATCCCCTCTCCTGTGAGAAACTTCATTCATACAGGATTGTTTCCTCCACATTTTCCAATACACATAATTTGCACACAAATGTTACATCTTAAGACCTTTCTGCTCAGTCTCAAAGAAAAAGATGGTTCTATGTGCAGTCTACTCCTGTCTTCTTTCTTTTCTCAGTCATTTTCCCCATCAACTCTTGCAGTGACAGTACTTTTGCTTTTCAATATCCAAATCAACACCAACTCTTTCCCATAGAGTGGGAACGGTGCCTACACTCTTTATTCATTCAACATATCAGCCTCTTTTTGTCGGTCATGGGGCTTGAACTCTGGGCCTGGGTATGGTCCCTCAGCTCTTCAACTCAAGGCAAATGTTCAACCACTTGAGCCACAGCACCACTTCCAGTTTTCTGGTGGATTATTGGAGATAAGAGTTTCATGGCTTTTCCTTCCTGGGCTGACTTTTGAACTGTGATCCTCAGATTTCAGCCTCCAAAGTAGCTAGGATTACAGGCGTGAGCCACCAGAGCCTGGCTCATCCTGTGTCTTTTAATCCTCCTCACTTTTCTTTCTTTCTGAACTAGGTTTGTAGGAATGACTGAAACGTGTGCATATATATCTATATATGTGTGTATACATATCTATATATGTGTGTATACATATCTATATATGTGTGTATTTTTTTGCTTAAGGATACTGTTTTACCACTTGAGCCATGCTCTACTTCCAACTTTTGGGTGCTTAATTGGAAATAAGAATCTCTTGGACTTTCTTACCCATGTTGATTTTCCTATCCAGGTTGACTCAGCCACTTGAATATCTAGGAATAAAGGTGTGAGCCACTGGTGCCCAACAAAAAATAGATTTTAATATGCATATATGAATAGCCTAGGACTTGAAAATCACTAACTCTCCTACAGATCAATTATAGACAAAGTCCAATTTACACACTAGGAAAAAAGTTATAGGACCAAAAGTTCAGACAGTGGAGTATGATTTCAAGCAAAATTATGTCACTCATATTTTCAGGGGCTTAGGATAGAAGCCAGGACAGAGAATAGAAAAACAGCTGGAAAAGAATTGGGATTTTGTTTTGTGGAAGGTTTTGACCCAAGCCAAGAATTTCAGACTTGATTACAAAGTGGCAACAATAATTAGAGTAGATGTGGGGGTTCATTAAATTCCTGACAACAGACATATCCAGTAACTTGTATTGTATTTGAGCACATTCATTATGTGACTAATAAATGAGACAATATTTTGACTACCAGTATCTCACAAGCATTATCATAGATCAGTTATCATAACTAAAATACAAGAATAAAATGAAAAGTTACAACAGAAAAAGAACAGTTGATATGGCCAATGCAGGACCAAAAGAACCAGGGAACCCGAGCAGAGAAAATTCTGAGCTGAGGGACTTCTGATCAAAGGGTGGAGACACACAGTGCCATACATTAGAGTGTGGTCACTGGGGTGTATGATGTGTACAGCACCTCTGGGAAGACACAAAGAGACCCTCATAGCCCAGGGAGAAGAGCCAAGAGGTATATCAATGTGAGCGCAGGAGGCATCGACAGTGTCCTGAACTCACTGGAAGGTGGTCGGCTCTCACATAGGGCTGACCACTAACACCCAGTTCCCTGGGAAGAAATTTGTGGCCTGAGGTATCAAGGACATGAGGGTGATGATGCTATAAACAATTTTTCAGAGATCAATAAGATGACGTGCTTTCCCTTGTTATCCTAGCTCAACAGACCTAGTAAAAACCCCATCTTTTGAGTGCTCTCAAATTCATCTGCTGGACCCACAGCTAGTCCCTGACAAAGAAGGGCCCACTGCCAGGTTCCGTGCAATACGACAGTGGGGAATGCCTTTGTAGCTCTGCCTAAGATCATGCCTTTGCCCACTCATTTATATGTGCGTATGTGTTTGTGTGTCTATGTGTGTCTGTGTGTGTGCATACTCACAGCACATGGTCCCCACACACAGTATTGTTTCAGAATGAAGATGAGCCAAAGACAGAAGGAACAACCGAGTCACCACTGTCCTCTTCCACTCTGTGTTCATGGACAAGAGCCCAGGAGGAACATGGTCAGGGTGGGATCCTCTCACTCTGCCTTCTGTCCACTGCACCTTCAGGACTCTGGTGCTGGAGTCAGGCAGACATCTGTATCCTGCTTTTACTACCACCTCTCTGTGTGACTGCAGTCAGTTCATTTCTCCAGATAAACCACATCTGATCAAAGACACAATCATTCTACTCACCTCCTAGGGCCTAGTGATGGTCAAGGGAAGGAGTTGGCGGATGTTCTTACTGATTGCTGTTGCTGTCATGAAAACTGTTTCCAACATGGACAGCCCTACCTGGGGAGTCAGCTCAGGTGTTCAGCTTTCCTGCTGCTGCGATCTTCACTCCTCTCCCACATGTGGAATGACTGCAGACAGCTGGGTCTAGCTCTGTCACACATCCATTCTGGGGGACAGACCGGCTGGGAGGCCACATCCTGGTGCTCTGTGGCTAAGGTGGAGAAAGCAGGAAGGTCACCAGATTCTGACCCAAAACAGGAGGGGCAGAAAGAGTTCTCCTGGAGGAAGCCTAAAGACAAAGAGTGTAGCATCCATCTCCGAGAAGCTGTCCTGTCTTAGTATAAACAAGATGGGGAATTAGTTAATGGGTTATAAAGTCTGTGGAACCCTGAGTCTCCCAGGATTTTCATTCAGGTCAAAGACACACTAATTGTTGAAACTCATGGAAATTAATCCTGCTATGCTCTATGCGGACATAGTGAGTCTCAAGAGGAGCCTGAGTTACCTGGCGTGTGTTCCCTGAGTACAGGCTCTGGGCTGACCTATTCCATCCACTTGGTTGGGATGCAATCTCCTCTTCCCTGTTGCTCAGCACCAACTGAGCACCCTGCCTAGGGAGTGGCTAGGGTAATGGTATAGTTATTTACTTCGTGGTATTTCTTCCTGCCTGTGCCTGAGACTTTATCTTGTTTAGTATATGTTATAAACTGGGATTTGACTTTAAGACGATTGGAGTGTACACTTTATTTACTTCAACATTCTGAGAGCAAGCTTCCAAATTTTGCAAATTCTACAAATAGAATGAACTGGTGGTTCGTACCTGTAATCTTTGCCACTTAAAATGGAATTTTACTCAGCCATTAGAATGATATTGTACCATTTATAAAGAAATGGTAAAAAACTGGAAAGTATTATGTTAAGTTAGTCATGGTGGGGTGAGCTGGAAACTAAGGGAAATGGGTTGATGAATGAAGAAGAAGAGAGAGGGAGATTGCATTTAAGAATTCAGTATATATTGTACAAAAGTAAGAAGAATGAAAGTAGAGATAAGAAAAGAATGAATGAAAATGGTGAAAGGGGTGACATTAATGAAAATATATTGTATTTATTAGTGCTTAGTTAAATGGCAACACCTTTGTACAACTAGTTAAGAATAATAATAAAATGAAAATAAATTAAAAAAATAAGTCAATCATTTGGGGCTAAGATCCTACGGAAGGTAGCATTGGACTTAGATCTTCAAGCCCTTCCCAAAATTGACCTCAGCACACAGTGTGTGATCTCACAACTGAGATGAAGAAGTTCTGCCAAAGAGTTTCCCCAGAGCTGCCTTCATGTCCCGGTTTCTCAGACTGTAAATGAAAGGATTTAACATTGGGGTCACAGCTGTGTACATCACAGTAATCACTGCATCCTTCAGGCTGTAACTGGTCAGAGGTCGGGAGTACATGCCCATGATTGTCCCATAATACAAAGAAACCACAGTGAGGTGAGAGCCACAGGTGGAGAAGGCTTTGAGTATGCCCTTAGTAGATGGAACCCTTAAGACAGTGGCAAAGACCCGAACATAGGAGATAATGATGCAAAACAGTGGCAATGAGAAAATGCCAACCCCAAGGTACATTATCTTCACATTGAAGTGGATGTCTGAACAGGACAGCTTGAGCAAAGGGATAATGTCACAGTAGAAGTTGGCCACTTCCTTGTTGCCACAAAAAGAAAGACTAGCTGTAAGCAGGGCATGAGAAAGTGAATTGGCATTTCCAACCACCCAAGACCCAACAACCATCACAACACACAATCTTGGGCTCATAATTGTGGTATAATGAAGAGGACGGCTGATGGCCACAGCTCGATCAATTGCCATTGCAGCCAAGACATAGCTGTCAGTGTTACCAAAAGCTAACATGAAGTCCATCTGTGTGAAGCATCCAGCATAAGAAATGGTTTTACTCTCCAGAAAATAGTTGGCCAGCATCTTGGGGATGGTGACAGATGAGAAGAAGATGTCAACCAGAGAGAGGTTGGCAAGGAAGAAGTACATGGGGTTGTGGAGGCGAACATCAGAGAGAATGGCCAGGATGATGAGCATGTTTCCAACCAGTGTGATGGGGTAAATGAGCAGGAAGAGGATGAAGAAGATGTCTTCTTGTTCCTGCTGTCCAGTCACTCCCAGAAGGATGAAATCTGTGGTAGCAGACTGGTTTTCTTCTCTCATGACTCCTTCAGCATGACAGGGATAAGGAATCCAGAATTAGTAGTGCAATTTCTGACCTTTCATATCCACCACTGTTGGCTCAAGTGATCAACTGTCTGAATAACTGAGTTCATGAAATCTCAGTGGAACCCACTGTTTGGGGGAACCTCCTTGGTTAATGGGATTAACCATCATTCACACGTGGACACTCATTTCTAACATGAGCAATCTGCGGATTGAATGTGCTCGTATTTATCCTCCCCATGGATACTACCAGGTAAATGTCTCAGATTTGATCCTTTTGCTCATATTCTTAATATCATATTCATTGCAGAAAATTGGTAAGTAGGCAAATGCTTTTTGCATTCATTCATTGTGATGTACATTATTGCTGCTCTCTCAGACCTTACAACCTCCTGAAGCAGCCAGTGTCCCACACTACTGGTCACGTACATGAAGAGACAGCATTTTGGAGTTTTCACAATCTATTCTAGTGCTGAGGCTCCTTCAGTAGGAAGATTAATTTGGGAATTAAGAATAGTCCCAATGGCCTGACACAGGATTTCCAGAACTCAGGATAGAACAGGCATCTCCACTGGCACTGGACGATTCCCAGTCACCCAGATGACTGCATTTAAGTCCTACCAAAATAGGCCCACAGCTGTCCCATTTGCCAAGTTGATTTAGTAGGTTTTAGTAGATTTAGATTTTGTAGGCTTTAGCCCCTGGAAAATCTTTAGACTTTTCTCTTCCTGCTCTCATTCTTTAGATGAGTAATTGAATTGCACTTGGCTACAACTACTGTGAGAAAACCACTGGCTCTATTTAAATAGAATGTTTTTTTCCCTGTGTGTTTAATCATCCTGGCAACGCAGCCTGTTCACATTCAGTCATGATTGCAAGATTTTAGAGGACACGAAAGGTATATATTGTATATTTTTAATTATTTTTTGTGATTATTATGGAGCAATGTTCATTTCATGAACCAATTCATTCTCACTCATTGTTCTTTGAGTTAAATCCTGGTTTATTTCTTGCAGTCCCCACATAGGGAATGCACACAGCACATTCACCGAATTTGTCCCCTGTCTGTACATCTTCTCTTCTTGATTTTTTTGTTGTGTACTTGTTGATTGTTTTTGCTGGTCTTGAATCTTGAACTCAGGGACTGGGCACTGTCCCCAAGACTCTATGCTCAATGCTACTGCTCTACCTCTTGTGCTACACTGCTCTATCTATTGGTTTATTGGAGATAAGAATGACACAGACTTATGGAAACATCACCATGGAAACAACCAAGATTCAGAACATTAT